CACCTGGTCCCCAGATCACAGGCTCCATGGACTGCAGTCCCTCAGGCACAGACTGCTCCAGTGTGGGTCCCCCATGGGGTCACAAGCCTGGCCAGCAAGCCTGCTCCAGTGTGGGCTCCTCTTTCCATGGGTTCACAGGCCCTACCAGGAGCCTACTCCAGCATGGGCTTCCCACGGGGTCACAGCCTCCTTCGGGCACCCACCTGGTCCCCAGATCACAGGTGGATATCTGCTCCACCTTGGACCTGCATGGGCTGCAGGGGGACAGCCGGCCTCACTGTGGTCTTCACCACGGGCTGCAGGGGAATCTCTGGTGCCTGGAGAACATCCTCCCTTTCCTGCTTCCCTGACCTTGGTGTTTGCAGGGCTGTTCCTCTCACATATTCTCACCCCTCTCTCCAGCTGCAAATTGCACACTTTTTTTTCCCCATTTCTTAAATATGTTATCCCAGAGGTGCTACTACTGTCACTAACTGGCTTGGCCTTGGCCAGCAGCAGGTCTGTCTTGGACCCGGCTGGTGTTGGCTCTATTGGACATAGAGAAAATTTCTGGCAGCTTCTCACAGAAGCCACCCCTGTAGCCCCCCTGCTACCTAAACCTTGCCATGCAAACCCAATGCAATAGAAATATAGAAATATACCAAGCGTGAAAGAGAACAATTTAAACAAATGAACAATATTTGCAAGGGAAGAAATGGGTAAAAGCAGAACTGAAGAATACATTTACATTACAAACTTGAGGGGGGTGATTTTTAATCCACAAATCTGAAAATCTCTTCTTCTATGAATAGAGTGGGTAAAACTATAAAAAACAGCTAGGACAACAGAATCATTTGAAACAAAAAAACCCAAACATGGTCAATTCATAACCTGGCTTATATGATGGTGAGTATCTGTAGTAACAGTAGACAGTTCCTGTGACTTGTGAAGTCTCCCTTTTTTATAAGTGAGAGAAGTATTTCATCCAAAGAGAAGGATACTTGAGATAAGATTGTCGGGATCAGAATATTAATTCAAAATCCAAAATAATTTCTGGACAAACAGTGAAGATTTCATCCTTAAAGGTACATTTTCTCAGAGCTCCATCCAGCGGGATTGAGACTGCAATTTTTATTGAAGCCTATAAGCAATACAGTATATTATAAATAACATCAGGACTAAAGATTCTTCTTCACCAGAATTCAGCTTGAGGATGAATGAGCCCCTGATGAACACGTCGTAGAATAGGACCAGTTTAACAACAACAAAGTCATTTTAGAATTACATCAATAATGTCTACTCTGTACAACTATTAAAGTCATAACTGAAGGGATTGTTGTTGCTGTACATTCAATAACATGTGAGTCCATCAGTGCATTTCTCCTCGCTTCCAGGTGACAACATGTTTCAGTTGTAAACGGGATCTTGGATCATCATTCAAAATCCACTCTACTGAGACCAACTACAGACTCCTAAGTGCTATTTGGAGTCCTTTGCTTTGCTCAAAAACTACTTCAAAGATAAAGAAATGTCCCTCTTGAAGAAAGGCATTTGCTTCAAAAGTTTTGTGTGTTATATTACAGCCAGTTATTGGGAAAGGGAGGAGAAAGCTACCGTCAATCCCCAGCTCAAGCAAAGACTGACTTCTAGGAGGCTGAGCAAATCCATTAGCCCCTTTTCTCCAGCAGAAGTGAAAATGCAAACCCTTACACCTGTAAAGTGGACACAAAACCATTTCCTTGCCACAGGGGAATGGGCTATGATTACTTCATATGACTAAAAAGCTAAGTGCTAAATTGATTAGGGTCCCAGATATTTAAAGAAACAAATCTCATTTTCTTAGAAGGTTTCAAAAAGATGAACAAAGCTCCAGCAAATTGAGTGTGGAAAGTAATCCTCCACTGTCCCTACTCTCCAGCAAGCTAGATGAACTTATTTATCTTTCACAACACCAATTTCTATGACTCTCTGCTGGAAAGCTGCCAGAGCTATAGGCAAACAGAAACTGATTCAGCTACTCAGAAGGAGCAGAGTATCTGGGAATAGGAAAATTATCTATGTAGGAGGTTTGCCAGCAATTTCAATAAATTACACTCTAAAAGATAATACCATGAAATGAAAAAGTCCTCTTTAATTAAAAACTCCATTAAAAAAAAAGCATGTATATACATTTAGCTTTATAAAATAAAGACAGAAGAGCTGCTAAACAGGCTCAGACTTGTTAAAATTCTGGAATAAGCTAGTTTAAAAAATTAGATTTCTAAATGAGATTTAGAGCTTAATGGGGTCACAACATTCTTGGCTAGTCTTAGTCCAAATAAGAACAAAAGAGATACACACTGGTTTTGGAAACTACAAGAAAAACATTGATGAAAACCTCCACATCAACATGATACAAATTAATTGTTATTTCTCTCCCCCTTGGCTTGCAAAAAGAAGTGATACTGTTAGTTTTAAGAATCAACTGGGAGTTCAGGAAGTAATTTACAGGAGCACAGCCTCTTCAGAAATCAGGTGTGTTTAAATTAGGTGTGTGGTCCTTGTATAGACTAAGGGTAGAAAGAGAGACTTCCAAGGTAACATTCAGAGAACCTAGGGTAGCATCTTGCTCTTGTGCCACTTTCCACTGGAGCCCCTCTATCCATGGACTACAGAAGTAACATCTGCAGCCCAATACCATAATTTACAGTCTTAAGATAGCTAAAGAAAGTGAGGCAAAGCAAAGATCAAGTGAGATTTTTGTCTTGTTCAAACTGGCATCAGCAACTTCTTGCAATATTGCCAGAGCATTTTTGCATAGCTAGCATCATGTTTTGTGGGAGAGGGAAAGGCCTCTGATAAAGTCCATTGGGGTTTTGGCTAGACTATTAGTTTAAATACATTCAGGTTTTTCTCCCCTTGAGCTCTAATCCTCCTTCTTTGGCATTTTTTATTCTCTACCCAGTGGAACCAGGTAGGGATGTATTATTGAAATGTTTAGAGTTTCCTCCAGTGGAAAATAAGTAGAGTTAATGTAGTAGATATATGTCAACATCTTCCACACAGCAAACATTATGGTGTTGCAATATCATTTACTAACACTGAGAGAAGGTAACAGGGGTGTGTTGCAAGCAATGTGTAGGTAAGTGGCCCAAGTGCAGGAGTAGGATGTAGGAGACCTGATTTCTCTGCTGCTGGTCTACCAAAGGACTTTTGATGCACAGAGTCTAATGACTTGCTTACTCTCCCTGTAAGTAAATTGAAGTTAAAGACACTGATACCCACCTTAAGTCCTTCATGCTCTTTGACGGAGGAACAAACGTTGTCACAGTTTTACAGCATCATGAAAAGTTACCCACAACTGAAAGATCAGTTTCTTTCTGGGAGAAGAATCCCAGGTAGCAAACATTGGGCTCTCATTAATAGCTTTTCATTGTATGTCCGTCTTTAATGAGGGAACAAGCAGCTTGAGGTAATAAACCATTTCCATGAAAATTAATAGGACTGCTCATCCAACTAATTCACTACTCATCTTGGTAAAATCAGGCATCCAGGATTAAAACCTAAAGTATTCTTTACATTCAGTTTTGACTTTTTAAATCAGAACTTTTAAGGTCTTCTACCAGATACTCCTATGTTTTTATGCTTTCCAGTAATAAACAGATTAATTTTTCTATGCTCTTACACAGAAGCTGATTTTGTTCAGGTGTGAAGGGACACCTTCATGGAATCCTGTGTACTCACATTTATACTTTAAACACTTCCAAAGGTGCTAAAATCGGGGATCTGAAGTCCCTATTATAATCTGTGGAGTGGCATTTTAGCATGAAACTGAGAATACATCAATTAGATGCCTGAAAAGGTGAACAGACTTCAAGCAGCAATAACACACAGGGCTGCCAGATACAGAACATGGGTTTACAGACTCATCAGCCAGCATCCCTTCCAGGTGATAGCATTGCCCCCGCAAAGCTCATGATGCTCCACAGCGTGTTCTGAGGTGCTCAAACCAAATTAACACATGGCTTGACTCCCCTGTAAGGATCCTGGCAGCGGATCCCCACCTGCTAACACCACACTTCAGAACAGAGGCCACCTTCTTTCTGACAAGGATGTATTTTCTTCTGAAACACGGGGTCCTTGTTCCCCACAGCACCTCAGAACAAGGACGGACTGAATGTTCAAACTGAAGTTCCCTCTTCATCAGGTAAAACTCTCAGTGAATCTTTACACTGGCGCTGGCACTGTCAATGTTAATACTGTAGCTGCTCTATGGCTGAAGGGCAGTACTAATCTACCTGGATGCCAGTCTGGCAAATATATCCAGGGCTAACTGGTGCTCCGGGGAGCAATTTTAACTTTGCAAAAAGGTACCTTCAGACATACAGCAATTATCATCTGGGAAAAACAAACAAACCAAACCCCAAGCATTAGATTGTCTGGGTAGCAGGCGTTTGAAAAATTTTCTTGTTGTAGGCAATAACTGTAACGAAGAACAGAATTGCTGCTTGTGGAGTAGGAGTTCAAAATGAATGAACACAACTTGCTGGCTGCAGTAACCTTTATGAAAAATCATCCTTCTCGTTCCAGAGAACCTCTAATCTACTAATAGAGAAACATATGCTCTATTTTAAGCTATATATAACGTAATGGATAGCTATAATTACTTCAACAGAATAAGGAACAGTATCAGCCAATATGTACTGTAAGTCAGGCAAGTTATTTATTTTGTCAGCAGTTGGAACATACAGCTGCTCATGTGTGTTAGTATTTCACATTCATCATTACATTTATTTGCTTACTTACAAATTGGTATGAAGTGCTACTTCTTTTTCCAGCCAAGTAAATTACAAACTGTAGATATCACAAACATTATACAGAAATATGAATTACACGTGAATGGTATACAAGGATGAGAGAGAGGGGAGACAGAAAGAGGTGCTCACTCTTAAAGATTTAACCCAAATTCTGCTGAGAAAGAGGATGTGAAAGCTAGGAAGTCTGTGCTGCATGTTGTGTACACAGAAACGTATCCACTGAGTTTAATATTTTCCAGGCAAATCACAAAGCCCTCTCAGGTTACAGCAGCATATAATCTCCTTGAATGTTTTCCTGAGCTCCTGACTCCGGAATGCATAGATGAGTGGATCAATGATGGAATTGCACATGATGAGGATGAGGTAGAAGTTAAAATGGGACATGAAGCACACACAGTAAGGGTTGTAGGGGCAGGAGATGTAGAAAATGAGGTGCAGGAAAAATGGAGCCCAGCACACAACAAAAACTCCAATCAGGATGGTGAGAGTGATGGCCCCTTTCATGTTGGCCCCCTGGCGAATAGGGCCAGTCCCTGGAAGAACAGCAATCTTTTTGATATGCATCCGAGCCATCATGAACATGTGGACATAGAGGGATGCCATGAGAATAAGCATAGTGAAGAACATGCTAATAAGGCAGATGATGACAACACTGCTGTCAGAGTAAATGATGAACAAAATGCCTGAGACTGTGCAAGCAGCCCAGATGCATGTGATGATGACCCCTACACGCTTCACCGTCATGATATTATGGTACTGGAGGGCGTAAAAGATAGTAAAGTACCTGTCCACTGCTATTGAGAGGAGACTGCAAATTGATGCAAGCAAGGAACTGCAAATCACTGAGTCAATGACATTGTCAATGTTTATGGTAAAGCTCTGTGCGTCTGTGTCTGTGTTGTTTAGCAGAGTGATGACAATAGTTTCTGATCCATTAGATACACTCACTAGCATGTCAGCCACTGCCAAGCTACAGATGAAGAAGTACATGGGCGAATGGAGGTTCTTGTTCTTGGCTATCGCCACAATGACCAAGACGTTCTCCAGCAAACTGATGATACCCAGAGTCACAAACACTTCGGGGAATACAAAGAGTTGCTCGTAGCAGCCTCCCGAGGAGTGGCCCTTTGCATTGGGCTCGCTGGCACCTCCATGCAGTCCGTAGCTGTGGTTCCAGAAATGGAGAGGCTGTAGCGTCCCATGGTGCTGGGTGAAATTCATCTTATGGAGATCCCCTTTCAGCTTCCCGCTTTTAAAACTCCTGCTTCTTTGGCATTCCTTTGAAAACCTTCTTTGGCTTTGCAGCTTGGGAAGAAAAGAAAAATAAGCCAGCACCGAGGCAGGCAGCAGTTCAGAACACTTTGCTGTTACAAAATCAGCTTTCAAACTCAAAAATACTGGTTTACACTCTCACAGATGCTGTTTCTGATCAACATCACATTTACCTTGGTGATCTATGTCACAGAGTCCCAACAGTCTGTAAGTTTGCATCAGATTCTCCCCTACGGTCAGTTCCTGTTTAGTTCACTGGCATGCTGCAAGGCTTTTTTGTTTCCTTCCATTAAGAGAGGCAAACATAAAATGCCCGACTGACTGCTGCAGAGCAGAAACTAATTTCAAACTGCAAGCACCGGTTTGTCTGTCAGACAGTGCATGCGGGCTGCCCGTTTTATGGTGTGTGGAGGAGAAAAATATTCAGGGCACTCTCCGCCTCTGCTTTGCCTTCCAGCCAATGGGGCTCGGGAGCTGCAGAAAGTCGAGGGGCTGCTGATTCTGAGCATCTCTGAAACATCACACGGCACAGTAGATTCA